TATATTTATATATAATTCTACTTAAATAATAATTATATTAAGAAATAAAGGGAGAAAAAATGTCATTTTTTGCGGTACTCATACGTGTGTATCTACAGGATGCCATATGCACATTGCTGTGGGTATATTCTACCAGAAAGATATTTTTTTCCTCACGGTTTTTAACATCAGGAATGGCACAAAACCGTCAAATTGATCATCCCTGTCAGCCATCGTCGTGAATGTCCCGTAGAACAATTTTGAATTAATAATTAACAAATATAATTGAAACAATAAGGTATTACATTAAAAAAAGTTAAATTTCTTATAAACTATTAAATTCTAAATATTTTTTAATAAATAATATATAGTACCTAATTATAATGGATGGTTTGAAACTAGTAAACATAACATACTATGAATAGCTACATACTATATATGTATGGCTAGAGATATTGGCATGCATAATATAAGGAGAATAGTTAATATGGTCCTTAAAGTTTCGCTCCTGGGTCATTTTAGTCCTTAATTTGGGATAGTATTTTACAAGGGTCATCAATTTAATGTTTTCAGAACTTGTCATAAACGTACATACTCCCTCTGTACTCATAAAGGAAGTCGTTTAGGATAATGTTTAAGTCAAACCTTAGAAATATAAATCATAAATAACTCTTAAGTTGTTGAGTTTGAAAATGTAAAAATTATATGAATAGATTTGTCTTGAAAAATACTTTTATAAAAGTATACATATATCATTTTTCAGTAAATATTTTTGTAGAAACAAGAAGTCAAAGTTGTGTTTTAGAGACCGTGTTGCTATCCTAAACGACTTCCTTTACGAGTACGGAAAAGTATGTGCATAACCTTTGAGGAATGAACTTCTCAATCCATATGCTCCCTCCAGATTAAAAAATAATTATTGTCTTGAACAAGAACACGGTGCCAAAAACTTTGACCATTATTTTCTATTCCAATATATATAGAAATATCAACAAATATACGATTTTATTAAAATACATTTTAAGATATTGATAGGTATGTGTGACTTTGATCAACAATTATTCTATGAGGATATCATTTATATGCTAATAAAGTATAATACTATATCATAATTAAGTAAATACTTTTGATAATCTAATATATTCATTTTTGCGTCATAAAGTATAATATATCATATACTAACGAAACAAAATACATTCTACTCCCTCCATCCTAAAATTTTTGACGCCGTTGACTATTTTAAACATGTTTGACCGTTCGTCTTATTCAGAAAATTTAAGTAATTATTAATTATTTTCCTATCATTTGATTCATTGTTAAATATACTTTTATATATACATATAGTTTTACATATTTCATAAAAGTTTTTGAATAAAACAAGTGATCAAATATGTTTTAAAAAGTCAACAGTGTTAAACATTTAGGAACGGAGGGAGTATATTCTAAGAAGGAGGTAGTAAGCACGTACCCGTCTCGGTCGGTTATAAAGGCGTAGCGGCATGGGTTCCACGCAGCAATCTTCCTGTCGGTGATGTTGGCCGACAGCACAATCCTTAGCAAGGTAAGGTTTGTAGGGATGGACTGGATCTGGCAGCAACCCAGCCCCGCGCAGTGGTCACCGTCGTTGGCGGCGGCATCCAAGCTCGCGCACGTCGTGACGCAGCCGGTCAAGTAGCTCCCGTCCTCCCTGCCGTACATCATCCCCAGCGTGTCGCACCCGGTGGCCGTGAACTCATTCCTCTCCGGCGACACAAGGAACGGCGTCCCGGCGAGGTCGAGCCATGGCGAGCCTACGTCGGACTCGGAGCTGCTGCTGGTGTTGGACAAGTCGAAGCAGTTTTGCAGCACGGAAGTGTAGACGCGCATCTCCCCCTTCGGCAGCGAGATGTCCTTCATCTCCATGTTGCTGTAGTAGGGTCTGGGAGGGGTAAAGCTATGGTTGCATGTGACGTTGAAGTCATCTGGACCCGGCCATGCGCAGTCGTCGCCGACGCCGAAGGGGAAGGGGATGTCGACGTCGCCGCACTTGCTCGGGCACTCCGCGGGCGGCGGTGCTGCCGCTACGGCCGCCGGAGCGGACGACGCCATCACAGAAAATAATGCTACTCCTACAAGCCACAGTACTACCACTTGTAATTGCATGGCGACGTTGTGTTTCTTCACCGCCATTTCTGTACAAACTACGTACCGTGGCTAATTAAGCTGAGCTTAAGCTTATAGCAGATCTGCACATACTGATCAGCTAGCATGCATGCATGTCTATATATATGCGGCCGGGGCACACGATGGATGGAATCTACATGCATGTTACGCTAGCTGTTGGCGATCCAGATTCATATGCACCAATTAATCGCAAGTTAATTAATTAGTCAAAACTTACTTTTCTATACTATTGCAACTAGCTAGCTGGTTATTTACCCAACGTGCCTCTCTCTATAAGTACATGTACATCAATTTGTCCCTTCACAACCCAAGACCTCAACCTCATCATTGACCGACTTCCGTCGAAATGGTTAACATCAAAGAAAAACTTACTTAATTATTGCATTATTGCTGTTACAAACCTTAATTAATTCCAACCCAGTCTAGGTCTGAGTCCTTCTTTGCTTTTTATTGCGTAATCTTGGTCCGTCAGCAACAGGAGCTGCCGCGTGCGTCACTAGCGGCACCACTTCCATTTTAAAACCTTTTATTCATCTTGTGTATTCATTCATCATTCGATTGGATTAATTAAATGACAGTACTGTCCAAGATATATATAAAAAGAGTCCGTGTTAGCTACCTAAGATCTTGTTATGGTGTTTAATTTATATCAGTACCGGCTACTATCAAATTTATTTTTATACGGCCAAAATGGATTTTGCAGCTGGCAGCAGATGGACACACCGCATGTGAAAATCAATCTTTTTCATAGGTGCCTCCCTCGACGCAAATGAAAATTGATTTTCGTACGCGGCCCTGATAAGAGACTCGCATTCGCTAATATCTTTGGAGCAAAAATAAAATAAAATCGAAATCCAATATAGTCCCTAAAATTCACCAATTCAGCAATATAAATCCAATCATGGCCACTGGATCCACACATTGCCTGCTGCTGCTAGCCTATCCCCTTATGACGCTGTGCTCCAGGTCCGCCCATCGTCCGTCTATCTAGATCTAGAGCTCATTATATTAAGTGTACTATATTAAGAACCCATGTGTTCTTGAACGTGCCTCCAATTGGAAAGAAAAAGTGACCCATAACACTCCAGACCTTACAAGAACTGGAAACTGCTTATTACTGTGTGTGTGTATATATATTCAGCGAAACTATGCCGTGAGAACACATTTTCCCGTGTTAATAAGTTGAGTAAGGAAAACAGATACCTCTCCGTTACAGATCAAACAGGGGATATGACAAATTACATCATTACCCTCATTAAGGACATCCGAATAGTTCTTTACAGTAGCTGTCAATTGTGATTAACAGCTGCACATGGTTACATTTGATGATGATGAGGGGCATTTGCAAATTTGCCACCGTTTTTTTAATGTTGTAAGGATGCCACTCGAATAACAGTTCTAGTGTCATTTTTGCAATTTTGTAGTGACAGTCTTGTAATAACGATTTAAAGTAGCGGTAAATTTGCAATTGCCCAAGATGAAAAGCAAGGAAGCTAGGAACTTCACCTCTCTAAACATGCTATGATGAAATATAAACATGCTATGATGAAATATGAGAATGACAAGTATTTTGATATATAATTTGAACGCTAGAATGACGGGTATTCTAAAATGAGGAGTATCCATCTATCAACCTTGACAAGACGGGGAATTCTAGAAATCTAGATACACTTAAATCATAGTATTTGTAGTAATTGAAGCAGATGCATGCATAAGAAGAGCAGTGAATATTTTTATGAGACAACAAGCAGATCAATTAATGTAATTGAACATACCATTAAGTAAAGAAGTGTAAGTAGCCATGCATGATATTACACCAAGGCGACAAGGCAAGACTAAATTAATTCATATAGGACATCTCAGATCTTCGAATACTGTACTCCCAAGCTTTGGCTGTCTTTGATCTTTGGGGGTCAAAGCTAGTAGATGGTGTGGAATTAAGTAGTTAAATCTGAAGCACGCAGAGCGAGCATCTCTATCGTGGCCAATGACATCAATATAATAATAAGTTGACAGAATTAAATGTGTCCTGTTGATTGAGATGTTAATTTACTTTGCATGCATATGCATGCTCGAGCAAGTTGGCTAATTGGGTTGCTGATCCTCCTTCTTGGGCCAGAAGATTTCGGCCCATTGGCCCAAGTCTGTTGCCCATTACCCCCTGGGCGGGCCAAGTCAGGTCCAGCAGCTGATGCAAGCATCAGCTATCGCTATAGCTAAAATTATGAGATTTGATCTGGTCTAGCAAAAAATATCTCAAGGTATTTCCGATCGTTGGATTTAGCTGGACAGGATAGTCATTGCTAGATCTAACGATCAAAAATGATTTGCTAAATGGACGTACAGTATTAATTTGAGACCTCCTTTTATATATATGAAGGACCGTAACATTCCACTAAATGAAATATGCCATGGTTTGGTATGGGAGGTATATATATATGGGAGCGTATCCTATGCACACAGGCCCTCGCGTGTACACACCATGTACACCAACTAAAAATTATCACAAAAAATTCTAGGAAAATTCATACATGTACTTTCAATAGTATTACATCTACGTGCAAAGTCGCATCTTCAAATTCATTCTACATAGAGAATAACAAAAAAGATAAAATTCTGACAAAATTGCAACCTTAAAACTGTCAGATTTTTTGTTTTTTTTGTTACGGCTAAAATATAATGAATTTGACGTTAAGATTTTAACCCTAGGTGTAATACAATTGAAAGTATGTGTATGATTTTTTCTAGATTTTTTGGTGACATTTTTTAGTTGGTGTGCACGTGTGTACACGTGATGGCCTGTGTGCATAGGATATGTTGCCTATATATATATATATATATATATATATGCTTGATCGGATGAAAACTTTCTTACTATGCTGCTTAATTTATTTTTGCTTTTAATTGCCACTTTGTTGGTAAATGGTACACATACTAATTAAAACGACACTTCCCCGCCAAAAAGATAAATTAAAATGACCCGTTGGTCAACTCAAACCAACGTCGACATTTGCTGGGGGATATGATAATAAATTAACGACGATACAAAGCGAAACTATCAACATACGGGTTGTCTGAACATCGGACCTTGCATTCATTTTCCTGCAACCTTTGCTCTCAATTGGATAAGCTCCTGTAGCGCCTCCGCCATAGTCGGCCTCTTGTCTATGTTGTATTCAAGGCACTGGACAGCAATGCCGGCCATTCTGTCGAGGCACTCCATGCAGTGAGGTTGTAGAGCCTCTGCAGACAATATGTCCTGGTCGTACATATTCCTTCTGGCATTATCATCCTCGTAACAGTTGGTAAATTCTATCGGAAGGCTTTTCCCATCGTACACGGCCTTCTTTCGGGTGATGAGCTCTAAGACCACGATACCGAAACTGTAGACATCACTCTTCAGTCTAAAATTGCCTGTTACCATATACACAGGATCTATGTAGCCCATGTCGGCACACACGCTTCGGTGCTTGGTTTTCAATACGGACTCTGATGACCCAAAGTCGGAGACTTTAGGCATAAGGTTGTCGTCAAGGAGAATATTGGCAGGTTTGATATCACCATGAAAAATGCAGCGGCGGGAATGCGAGTGCATGTAGGTAAGAGCTTTCGCAGAGCCAATGGCAATATCCAGCCGTTTCAGCAGCGGGAGAGCGCACCGCTCTGCCCCATGAAGGACGCTCTCGAGGCTACCATTAGGGACGAACTCGAAGACCAGCATAGGGACCTCCACCTCGAGGCAACAACCAATGAGGCACACCAGGTTGTCGTGGCTGACTTGAAGTTGCACCGTGATTTCCTTCACGAACTCATCCTTGCCACGAGTCCGCGATATGCTCTTTTCGATGGAGTACTTGACGGCGACCGGCTGATCGTCGTGGGTTCCCTTGTAGACCACACCGAAGGCGCCTTTCCCTATCTTGTTGCTTTTGTTGTTAGTTATCTTGTCCAATTCCTGCTTTGTAAAGATTTTAACGCTCGTCTTCTCTAGCATTTGGCCACCATTACGGTCATAGCACCCTTTAAGCTTCCATTTCTTACGTAAGCACACAAGGACCAAACCAAATAGCACAACACCGGCTATCACTGCAAATGCAAACAAACCAATTAAACATATAAGTAACTAGGTGATTCCCCGTGATTTGCTGCAGGAATTACTAAGCAATTCTCAATATTTTTTTTTTGACAATCAACCTAGGTGTAAAAAAGAAAAGAAAATAATGAAACATCAAGGTTTATCAGTCAAATGATACCCGTGCTTTAGTGTGAAACATATTGATATTGATAAGTACATGTTAAATATTATAAAGTTGATAGATAGATTTGTTAAAATATTATGCAAATGATATGAGGGGTGATGATTGAATATGCTTGTATTTTGATTTCTAGAATTAAAAAAATTGTAGATCATGTTGTATGCTTGTATGAGATTAAATATGTAATTATTGCTAGTGGATGATGGTGTGGTATGGTTGCATATTGAGCTTTAGATTTATTGGCCTTTTAACTCTATAGAAAGTATAGATTAGAGAAAGCACCATTAATCAATATATTAGCTACGTTACATACATATATAACTAACTAGCTATACTTAAGTAGGGGCAATATTAAATGATGACGCTTTAACTAACTACTTAACTAACTACTCCATCCGTCCCATAATATAAGGGATTTTGAGTTTTTGTTTACACTGTTTGACCACTCGTCTTATTCAAAAAATTTGTGCAAATATAAAATACGAAAAGTTGTGCTTAAAGTACTTTGGATAATAAAGCAAGTCATAAAAAAAATAATTCCAAAATTTTTTGAATAAGACGAGTGATCAAAGAGTGCAAATAAAAACTCAAAATCCCATATATTATGGGACGGAGGGAGTAACTAGCTACAACTTAAGTCATAATACATTGATTATTTGAGTAAATTTCAAAAACTTCATGTTTTATACATAGCTGAAGTTGTCGAAACCACATGTATTATGACTTGTGGCACTTTAACTCTATGTATTATGGCTCTAAAGTTTCATAAAACCCTATCTTTATGCATGTTGAGCATGAATTTACTTAAAGTTGAAAACATATGGTGTATATAAAACTTTAAATTATTATGTTCTTGAGTATGGTTGATATATAGTTTATCTCTTCGCTACTGTGAAAAAATTGTTTCAAATATATATACTGTAATTAATCAAGATTTTAATAAAGGTGAAGTCTTATTATAAAACACAAAGATCATACATTAAACCTGTGAGATTATGTGACACGCATCATAATATATGTGGCTTTATTTAACCTTGATCATAAAAGCGTGAGGTTTTCTAAAATTTACTCTAATTTCTATTAAAAAACGCTATAAGTATGAACAATGGTCATGGCTCACCAAGAATCCCAATTACAGGTGGGGGAATTATGGGTTGACATCCATTATCGATTTTGCCGTCCCCTCTACGTCCCAAACGGCATTTGCACCTGTAATCACCCTCTGTGTCATGGCATTTGCTACCACCGTAACATGGATAAAGTTCACTGTACTTGGCAGGGTCTTCTCTTCTAAGCTTGCATTCATTAATATCTGCACATATAATAATTGGTGATGAAATACTAAATAGTATAATTAAACATATTAACCAATCCCATACGAGCAAATTCAGCAAAGATTACAACGTACTCCTACATACAAGAAGTAGTAACTAATTCATTCATGCCAATGAAGGAAATTAATATTAGTCCATGCATGCATGCATATCAATATAGAGCCGGAAATTAAAAGACTAACTAAACATAATTGATTAAAAAGACTAACTTGTACACCCACTGTCACCGGTGACGTAGGGATTGCCATCATATCCCGGGGAGCACTTGCAAAGATATCCCTGTCCGTTGGTGGTGTTGACGCAGTAGCTGTTGGGGCTGACACAGGCAGGAGCGACCCGCGATGTTGACGAGCACGATCCGTCGCTCCTGATAGCCCAATCAAGCACTGTAACGACACTTCTGTCTCCAGCACGATTCATAAAGCTCTTGCTACCGGCACGGCTAAAATCTCCACGGCTGAATTTGTACCTATATATATTATAATATATATATGTGCATCAGTAAACTCAATGGGTGCCCTAGCTAAACAGTCCAGTTTGTTGAGTAGGGAGTGAAAATGGGTCAGATATCTACATCTATCCTCAGTAAGTTGCCAACTCCACAATTTCCATGAATGATACTCCCTCCGTTCCATGTTACAATGGAAATTAAATATGAGAGCCTCACCGTACACTTTAAACCTCCAAAATTAAAATAAAGCTATTCTCATTGTAAAATATTTAGGTCATATTATTTTAATCATTTTTATCTCACTCAAAAAAAAAACTTCATGTTTGATGGCTTGAGGTTAGGAAATGGACAAAAGTCCACCTACCTCACTATTTGCGGGGACCCACATAATGGTGGTGGTGTCAAATTCACCACACTCAACACCACCATTTAGATCTTTTAAAGAAGTATAAATAGTTTCACGTGATAACATATACATGCCTTTGAGAAAAACTACGGAGAGAACACAATGCAAACTGTAATTTCCTTACCACACCCCGCCCCAATAGATCACGCCCGCATATGATATATTGTTTTCTCTCTCTCTTTCTTTTGAGTGTGCTATATATAATAGTATATAATAAGAACAGAAATATATATTCACAAAATAATATAACATTCTTCTATGCATAAATTATATGTAATTAAAAATATGAAAATGAATGTAGGGTTCACCAGAAATATTTATAAAATTATTATTAAAGTAAGTAGAAGAAGGATGCGCTTATATCTGCTCTAAATTCTATAAACTACCATAGTTTAATTTATAAATGTGGTGCCTAAATCAACATATACTAATGGGACAATTGCTTTTTTACTATGTTTTGAAGCCTAACTACTAATATGACCCTATTTTTTCTAGTTTGTTTATTTGACCCTACTTTTTTAAAACAAACACTCCGTTTGACCATGTTTTCATAGCACCGTTAAGTTTTCATTTTAAAAAAAAGAAAGAAATATAATTACATTTCGTAATGACCAAAATACCCTCGAACAAACCCTATCCTTATCTATCCCGTCTCTCCCCCGTATCCCCTCTCTCTCTCTCTCTCTCTCTCTCTCCGAGTGCTGGCGTCGGCGGCGGCTCGTGGAGGGAGGGGATCCGCGCGGCGCTGGCTCGCGGAGGGAGGGAGCGGCGAGGCGACGCCGGCTTGTGTAGGGAGGGAGCGGCGGCGGCGGCCTTAGAGGAACTTCCTCCCGCTGCTCTCCTTGTGCAATGGCTGCCGTCCGGCGGTGGCTAAATGAATAGGAGGGTTGGTGGCGGCTTGACAAGGTGGAGGAGTGGCTGCGGCGGCGGCGGCGGCATGGGAGGGATGGCGGCGGCTCGACGAAGAGGAGCGGCGGCGGCGGCAGTTCGACTACGAGGAGGAGGGGTGGCATGTTTTTTTTTTCTTTTCTTTTTTTTGGTAGACATAAATCCGTGCCATATTTGTGTTTGAGGCAATTTAATATATAGTAATAAGTGCACAAAACTGCATTGAATAAAAAACTTTAAGAAACTGGGTTAAATTCACAAGGGTATAAATGAAACATTTGTCTTAAGTTAACACCGTCATGTTGACTTCCCAGAGTAGGGCCAAGTCTCGCCTTCATTTATAAAAAAGAGGGTCAACTAAAAAAGCAGGACCAAATTAGTAGTTAGTCCTTAAAATAGGGTAAAAACGCAATTGTCCCTATACTAATATTAGCACCAATGCATATGGAGTAGTAATTGTGTTACCAGAGTTGATAGCTAGATTTTCTTTATTACTACTATTTAACTTACCATGCTTTCTCAGCCACGAAGGCGTAGCTGCATGGGCTGTATCTCCATGCATAGTTTTTTGTTAAGTTCCCCCAATTCAGCTCTACGAGGGCAAGGTTGGGCGGAATGGAAGGCACCTGGCAGCAACCCAGCCCGGAGCACTGCTCGCCGTCGTGGGCAGCCTCGTCTAAGCTCACGCACGTCGTGATGCAGCCGGTCAAGAAGCTCCAGTCATCCCTGCCCTGCAGCCACGCCAACGTGTCGCAGCCGATGGCCGTGAACTCGTTTCTCCCCGGAGCGACCAGGAACGGCGAGTCGGTGATGTTGAGCTGCAGGAAGCTGGTTGAAGAGTCGACGTGGTCGGATGTGTTGTAGCACTGGTAGACCACGGGAGTGTACACACGCATCTCCCCCGCCGCCACCGAGATGTCCCTGATCTCTATGTTGCCGTAGTAGGGTCTGGGTGGGCTGAAGCTATGGTTGCATGTGACGTTGAAGTCATCTGGACCCGGCCATGCGCAGTCGTCGCCGACGCCGAAGGGGAAGGGGATGTCGACGTCGCCGCACTTGCTCGGGCACTCCGCGGGCGGCGGTGCTGCCGCTACGGCCGCCGGAGCGGACGACGCCATCACAGAAAATAATGCTACTCCTACAAGCCACAGTACTACCACTTGTAATTGCATGGCGACGTTGTGTTTCTTCACCGCCATTTCTGTACAAACTACGTACCGTGGCTAATTAAGCTGAGCTTAAGCTTATAGCAGATCTGCACATACTGATCAGCTAGCATGCATGCATGTCTATATATATGCGGCCGGGGCACACGATGGATGGAATCTACATGCATGTTACGCTAGCTGTTGGCGATCCAGATTCATGCACCATTTAATTAACGAATCGCAAGTTAGTCAACCTTTTCCGTTGCAGCTAGCTGGTTATATATTTAGCCAACGTGCCTCTTTCTACGTACATCAATTAATTTGTCCCTTCATCAAGAAGATTCACCCAAGTCAAAATGGTTGTAGCCATACTTTAGCCAATAAGGGCTTTTGGTCTGATAATAGCTGTAATTTTTTAACTCTCTCCTCGTTAACGAGGAGCTAGCTAGTTTCTCAGTAATATAATCTCCTTTCCCGCAAAAAAAAAAATGTCCCTTCATAACCCAACACCTCAACTTCATCATTGACCGACTTCCGTCGAAATGGTTAACATGCATCAAGGAAAAACTTACTTAACTATTGCATTATTGCTGTTACAAACCTTAATTAATTCCAACCAGTCTAGGCCTGTGTCGTTCCTCGCTTTTTATTGCGTAATCTTGGTCCGTCAGCAAGGAGCTGCCGCGCGCGTCACCACTTCCATTTTCAAACCTTTTATTCATCTTGTGTATTCATTAATTCATCATTCAATTGGATTAATTAACTGACAGTACGTACTGTCCAAGATATATATAAAAAGAGTCCGTGTTAGCTACCTTAGCTAAGATCTTGTTATGGTGTTTAATTTATATTTGGCATACGTGGATATGATGTTTTTCATTGAAATAAAAAAGTTCAAAAATCACAAAAACATGATTTTTGGATATATTGGAGTATATTGGGTGCTTTCGTGGCAAAAAAAAAAAAAAACTCCGTGACCCGCGCGGCTAACCTTTGTCAATTAAAGTCAATATTGATATATATTGGCACACGTGGGTGCGATGTTTTTTACCAGAATGAAAAAGTTTAAAAAACACCAAAACATGATTTTTTGGACATATTGAAGTGCATTGGGTGCGTTCGTGACAAAAAAAAATCACTCCGTAACTCGCGCGGCGAACTTTTATCAATTTTATCCCTGTAGATACAGTAAATCATCACTGTAGCGGTAGTGTTCTGTGCATTGACACACTGTTCCCCTCACATATCACTGTGGCTACAGTGCCTCTCTGCGGTAATGCAGAGGATCCGAATCCCTGGGTTACTGCAAAGTTTCACTGTTTCTCAACGGCCGAGATCGATCGGTATCAACCACACTGTATTACATCTGGTCATATTAGCAGCCTGCATGTCCAATTAACAGGGGCTCTGCGAAGTTTCACACAGTTTCACAACTTGCAATTTGATAGTGATCGTGTTGTCTTAGGGTGAAATTAATATATATAATTCCTTCTCCGAAAAGGAACGAAACTTGGATGGCATGAGGAAGAATTATGGACCTGGACACATACAAATTAATCCTCCACTTGTGATAGTGGATGATCTTAAGGTTGAACACTTGGGCCTAAGACAATAAGACTGTCAAAAATTGTTGGCCGGATTTAGGTGGCATTATGGCGGGACGTGCGCACATGTGCCAAGTCCACCTTGTAAGACAAGAGAAAGTTGAAATATGGCAATTAGTTTAGCTCCTCTTCTAATTTGTTGGAATTTTTCTGACCACTGCCGTGCATGCATGTGGAAATATATTTGTCCATGGCTCACGACTAGCTACCTACTACGTATGTCACCTGAATACTTCTAAAAACTAGCATATTGGATATAGATACGTATCGGATACTCTCATATACTTATCGGATATAGAAAGTCGTTTAGGACAATATTTAAGTCAAACCTTAGGAATATAAAACATGAATAACTCTCAAGTTGTTGAGTTTGAAAATGTAAAAATTATATGTATAGATTTGTCGTGAAAAACACTTTCATAAAAATATACGTATATCATTTTTCAATAAGTATTTTTATAGAAATAAGAAGTCAAAGTTGTGTTTTAGAGATCGTGTCGATGTCCTAAACGACTTCTTTTACAAGTATGGAGGGAGTATCGATTTAATTAATTACTTAATTAGGGCATGCATATGGCTATTTAATTTGTAGCACTGAAAATGGGTGGTAGCTAGAGAAGAGAATCTCGATGCGAATTCTAGTAGTACAGCTATTGATTATTAACTAGGCCCAATTAGGTTGGATCTGTTCATATGCCTTTGCACTCTTGGATAGGTAGCACTACCACTACTGGGCAGTTGACTATCAGAGATGGATTTTTTTTCAGTGAAAATATATAATTTTTTTAATAAATACGCACTCTTAACTACTTGTATTCCATTTATGAATGGGAAGCATATAGCAAATATTTGCTCGAGGGATTAGAATTCAATTCCATTGAGTTTATTATGCTAATTTTACATAGAAATTTTACAGTTTTCCAGAGGTACCAAAAGACAATAATTTTTAGCTTAATATACCGAGAGACATCAAATTTTACACTATAAAGATCTTCATATCGCACTTTACAATTTACATAATGTTTTAAGGCAGCTCAAACAAAGGAACCCCGGGCAGTTCGATGGTTTGGCGCCAAACAGAGGCACACGAGGATTTGCCAGTCCAGTTTCTCACTGTCATTCATCATATCCCAATCTTCACAGTGACAAACTAACAATTACTCCCTCCATTTTTTAATAGATGACGCCGTTGACTTTTTCTCACATGTTTGACCATTTGTCTTATTCAAAAAATTTACGTAATTATAATTTATTTTGTTATGAGTTGTTTTATCACTCATAGTACTTTAAGTATGATTTATATCTTATACATTTGCATAAAATTTTTGAATAAGACGAATGGTCAAACATGTGAGAAAAAGTCAACGGCGTCATCTATTAAAAAACGGAGGTAGTATTAATTAGTTGGTACTACTTGTTAGCAAACATACAAAACAAAAAAGGCACACAGATGAGTTCTCTTATCAAGACAAAGAACAGCCATGAGGAAGAACACAGTCCACAGGAACGACATACACAGTGTAAAGCACCATACATTATTCTGAAGAAAGCGAATCACTCAAGTACGGAGGTAGTATTAATTAGTTGGTACTACTTGTTAGCAAACATACAAAACAAAAAAGGCACACAGATGAGTTCTCTTATCAAGACAAAGAACAGCCATGAGGAAGAACACAGTCCACAGGAACGACATACACAGTGTAAAGCACCATACATTATTCTGAAGAAAGCGAATCACTCAAGTACAGTCTACAGAGAGATATACACACATAAATACAGATATGCAGATACACAAAAATGCATAAACTTACATACATGTTCATGAATGATTGAGCTGATGAGATGAGCGTGCTATGTCAGGCCACAAGAATCCAAAGTGTCATTACATTATTTGGCACTCAATCGCATGCGCTCCTGCAGCGATTAGTGGCTACAACAACACAAGCATCCAAAGATGGCAACACTGCTGCTCTGACGATTCAGAAAGTTAACAGGAGAAGATTCCCCAGCCACCATCGCCAGCAACTTTTGTTTTGTTATCTGATCATCTTCTTCTAGCCCATCTCGTAGTAAAGCTACTGTCAGAGAAGCTTCGCATGCTGTCCTTTCACAAGAACAATAATGTAGTCAGAGTTTCAGAGGAACAATAATATAAGTCAGAGAGTTTGTTCCAATCAGAACACATGCATCGAGCTGATCGAGCTACCAATATTTTAAAACAGCAAGTGATGATCACTCTTGTGAATTTACTACCATATGATCTCATGTTCTAAGTTGATCCAGCATTGATCAAGTTGGGGAGGTGAAAAGATTCGCGTAGAAAAGGTTGGCGCCAATATACTGCAGAGTTGTGGTCGACCGGCCGGGTCGTCCTGCTTTGCTTCAGAGTTCAGAGTTGAATTTTTTTTCCATTGGAGGCTAAATTTATTGTCAAAGTCATATGCTGAAGATTAAAACAAAATCGCATGTCCTATTTGTCAGTCAGTCTGTTTCCTTAGGAAGTAGAGATGTTAAATGGAAACGGCATAAATTAATGAACATGAGGTATGTGTGCGTAACGGTAGGGTAGTGGTAGACAGGCATTGCCACTCACCACCCAATCGACAAAAAAATATTTCAAGTACGTAAATGCATGCCTGTATGCCACTAATTTTCCTTCTGCGGCGTGACGAAGGGTTATGAATTGACCACTTTTCAACGTTCAATTTGCATATAAATATTACATATCGTGCGCGTAGTGTTTCATGCAGTAAAGATTATTTATTTGAGGGTGAGTGGAAAAAAAAAAGAAAAACTACCACGAGTACAGAATCTTCTATCTGTGACGGCCTCTAACATGCTTGGAACTCTAACATGTCTGAAATTAGCGAGTCGTCTCAAGAAAGTCATCTCTATCGAGCTGAAAAAAGCCCGATTGAGATATGCTCGAACATACATGTTAGATGGATATAAAACACAGGCCCGTCACGGATGACACCTATCAGTGACGGGCCGTAATTTAGATCCAATTGAGATAACATTCCATGTCTCAATTGGGCTTCAAGTTGGCGCCCGTCATAGATGACCATCATCCGTGACAGGCACCAACTTGGGGCCCGATTGAGATAACAACTAGGCCCGTCGCATATAACTCATCCGTGACGGGCTCTATACTAATGCCCGATTGAGATGACTTAACCTCTATCGGGCTTTAACTAACGCCCGTCATCGATGACTTTTTTTCCATTTTTCATACGAAATGTTTATATTTGTGAGTTGACCTGTAGCAAAATAATTAACTGCAGTATAATAATTCGTTTTATTAGTCAAAATAATTTTTCGTGTAATAAATTATTTCAAATAAAAAAATTATCAACGACAAAGTTGTATAACTTATCAAGATTTACAACTTTTATTTTGATCATTTTTCTATACAACTTTTTTTGAACCGTTTGAATTTGAATTTGAAAATATGACAACTTCAAAACAACATTTTCAAATACTAAATGATTTCAACTAAAAAAGTCATCAACAACAAAGTTGTATAACTCATCAAGAACTATAACTTTTATTTTGGTCATTTCTTATATATTTTTTTGAATAGTTTGAATTTGAATTTGAAAATATGACAACTTCAAACAATATTTTCAAATACTAAATGATTTCAACTAAAAAAGTCATCAACAACAAAGTTATATAACTCATCAAGATCTATAACTTTTATTTTTATCATATCTTCATCCAATAAAATGTTAGTAATATTGTTCACAAAATTTATATATCTATGTTATAGTTTATAAAAAAAAAGAGATATGTGAATTTTGTAAACAATGTTACTATCACTTTGTCGGATGAAGAAATAACCAAAATAAAAGTTATCTTATCCTTATAAAAAACACTGCTAACAGTAATGTCATAGAAGTAGTAGTAAATCATCGGGACAAAAATAAAAGCAAAAAAGGACTCGTCAGCCTCCGCGCCAGGGGCGGATCTACAATATAAGTGTCGCCGCGACACCGACAACTTTCGATAAAACCTATAGCAAAATTGTTTATCCATATATTATAACAGTATGATCTAAACATAGTTAGCATACAATGATACCGATACATACATTATTATGACACCAACAAATCGATTTTATAGATCCGCCACTGCTCCGTGCTGCGTTGTCGCTTCGTGGAATGCTAATTTGTTAGGTCACACCCTTTGAAGTGGGTCTCCGTCTTGCGGATTGCCTCCAGCTACTAGGCCAGCTTTAAGTGGCGCCTTGGAATGGAATATCTTGTCGACTCCTCCAGTTTTGCCAGCCTGATTTCAATGAAACTTTGAATGGACTTCCATTAAAAAAAAATAACTTTTTAAAAGGACTCTACAGGAGTCAGGAGACCTTGACATGACCAGGACTAGCTTGTAAACAAACGAGACGTGACTTGACCGTCACGGGAGAAGCTTGCAAAGATCTCATAAGTGGATTGTAATTATCGAGGAGACGTTCCTCGTATCTTTTTCTTTTAAATTCAATATAAATAGTTATAAACAAATTTAAAAAAAATATAATAATATAGAGTATATCTCTATATTAATATCTATCGGTCAATAAAAAATTAAGTTCAAACTCGATTTATACGTTGAAAAAAAAAGACAAATTTAGATATGAACAGTATGCTACTATATCCATATGTTGAATTTATCTTTTTATATCTCAACATGTAAGTTGAGCTTGGACCTAAGATTTTGTGAAGTTGTATAAATATGTTGTATGAGTGTTGTTAAATTTTTATTTCATAACTATTTGAATAGTTTTTAAGCAAACAAGAGGTATCCGCTCGAGTAATCAAATAGTTTGCGAGGATCTCTTACTGATTGATTCAATAATATAAAAAGATATACCCCAGTCACATGTATCCACCAAGTTAACTACAGATTGAAGTTAACTAAAGATAAACCTCTGATTGACTACAGATCTAGTATATCGATTATTTCAAGTTAAAAAATTATAGTCTTAACCATCATATATAAAGTCTGAGATTTACCCTGAATTATTGCATTAGTTTGATTATCCTCGTAAAGACATTCTATACCTATGGATTTTTGAAGCCGGACGATATCCCCTAGCATTGTTTTTGGATGGTTTTGGTCCGATGTTGCACATATGTCATGCTCTAGTCATCACGGCTTATTAAGAAAAGTACAATGTGGGATCCACAAGTCATCCTCTCTCTCTCCTCTCTTTCACTTCTACTCTTGCAGTGGGCGTGGAGCGGAGCGAGGACAAGGCGGTAGAGTGACGGTAAGGGGTGATGGCAGCATCATCCTTGGCGGTCGGCCACGACCACGCGCGAGCGCGCGAAACAAATTAGCTCGGTGGGCTCGGCAGAGGACGCGTGGGAGAGGGAAAGGAGAGAGGAAGATGGGCTGGGGAGTGTTGGGCCAAGCTAGGGAGGCAAAACAGACTTCGCAGAGAAGTTGGCCCAAGGATGGAGAGGAGGTGAACTAGACTTCTGCTACGGGATTGAAATTAGAGAGAATTAGGGTTAGGGTTTGAGGATTCTCGGTGGGCGATCACTTTGGGGGAATTAGGTTTAGGGGAATATGGAAAAATCATGGGAGGGAGATCAAGGGAAAGGTTTAGGATTTACGAGGTAAATGCTTGGACTAGATTGGATTCATGGATGCGACGATATTTGTGGTTAGTGTTTTTGGAACGAAATCCGAATATACGAATTCGGACTTCGAAACTGTCTTCAAAACGAAAGGTGAGAGGTAGATTAGGTTTTAGGGTTTACCGGTTCTAAGATTTGAAAACGTGGAACCTTCGAAGGAGTAAATGAAGAGGATTTGAGTGCGGACTCAAACCTTAGGGGAAACAACGAAACGGAAATTATTTGAAGGGAAATATCTCGGTAGAGGTTTTAGAAGGGAGATATGAATACAATAGGTTCAAGTATTGATTTTGGATGGAGATTTTGAGTAGATGATTTGACAATCGGGAATTGAGACAAAGGAGAGTTTTAGACTGAGATCTACGGCACGACTTTAGACTCAGCACTCAAAGAACAAAATTTTCGCAAGTAGGGTTTTCGTAAATTAGCTTTTAACGTCACGCGGAAAGCGGGGCGTTACAGTGGTCGACGCCACCGTCGTTCACGCTGACGTCTGTGCCCGTCGTCGTCACCGCCGGCTGAGCAAGGTGCCTGCGGCATCCCGCCGAACCTCCTCGACTGATGCTTGAATTGTCTCTCCACCTCGCACCAAGTGGCCTCGTGCCATCTCCCGATGTGCTGCCGCCGTTGCCGGGGCTTCCGGCATCTAGCTCGCGACTGTAAATGGCCCTGCAGGCCGCCGTCGTCTTCCTCCTCGGCTGGGACTATGGATCGCCGGGTTCGTCCCTGGGCCAACACTCTTTACTCCCCCCGCCGGGTCCCCTCACCGCCCGTGGTCGTGAGGCCCTCTCATGGTGTCTATATATTATGATCATGGCTATTGCTCTCTCATCCTGCAATGCAGATGGTTCAACCATAGCTTTTCCTATTGGTTATCAATATTAGTTTGGCAGTATGCATATTGAGATTTGATGTGTCTCAAATATGTACATGTATCCTACTGATGAAAATGCCTAAACTAGTGCATATTTTATTGTTGTTTTCTTGCTGTGAATACAGGCTATTGCTTCAATCCTGAATTTACATGCACAAAGGATTTGTGCGTCAAACTATTGTATGAATTGGCTATTAGAGCAAGTTTAATAGTATAGCCCACTACTAACTTCAAATCATCTATAGCCAATGTAATAGCCAATTCATACAATAGTTGTTTACGGTACTATTAATATCTGGTCCCCCTGTCACACACACATTACGTTTTGGAGCCCGTGCTGCAGCTAGCTACAGATCTGTAGCCCGCTGCTCTTCTCTCTCTTCCTTTATCTCTTTATAATATGTTTATAGCTGGCTTATAGCCTGCTATTGTACCTCCTCTTATATTTTTTTTTGAGAAGGGTACAACCCAGGACGCACACTTACACACACCGCACTCACACCACTACACACGCACACACACGTGTGCGCGTCACTAACACACGCTAGGAATAACATTGGAGGCACTAGGCCTCAGTGCACGGGAAACGTACAGTCCCACTGAACGCGCACACGTGTGTGTACCCTATTACCTAGCCGGGACCAACCGAAGTCAGTCCCGGGGAAACGGGGAAAAACCCCTGGTGAGACACGCGAGTTGCGATCCCAGGGATCGAACCGAGCAACGCCCGGTTCTCTACCTCCTCTTATATTGGTTATATATGATTTGGAGTTAGTAGTGTGCTATACTATTAAACTTGCTCTTATCTCAGCAGACGGTAATCCCTCGATCCTCTCGTTAACACTTTTTTGCAATGTGGAACTCGATGGATGTTGGCTAGCTAGCAGCCTAGCACTTTGCATTTGGCAACACATTTTGATGCATCTTATTTTTGCCTCTTGTTGCTTAACTTCTTGCCTTTAATACAGATTATTGCTTCAATCCTATCTTTGCATGAACGGTGGAGCCTGCCGAGATAAGATAAGCTTAAACGGAAAATACGCCTATTGCATTCAGGAAGGGACTTGCTGCTGCCACAAAACGGAAACATGCATGAGAAAATGAAATGAACTAATTAATGTACGGATCAATCCAGCTGTAGTTGATTAAAATAGACAAAATAATAATGCTATAAGTTCAATAAAGTTGTGCTAAATCTTTCTTTAGTACTGCAAGCATGACATCTCCCAAGGAGCTTACATACTACTCAGTGAAGTACAGTTGTAGGAACCAAGAAGCAAACCCATGTGTTGCTCATGGTACTACCCTTGAACTCCCTAAAAGATCATGCCCGCCAGATTACTCCGATCCAAATCACAAAATATAGTTAATAATCGCCTTAACCATAAAAAATAATCGGCCAACCATTCCATACAAATATATAAACACACAGATAAATATATTACAAGTTAAAAAAAAAGAAACTAGAAACAATAAATAACAAGGCTGCACACTAGTCTATTGTAGTATCGCCAAGGCTTGCCGATGAACATGGACCAACTGTTCATATTCAGGAAACGTTTCTGCCATTCTCTCCATTAGGCCATCCGGAAATGTTTGAGCGCGAATGAGATCAGGACGAATCTTCATCATCGAAAGAACCACTTGTTGTACGTCCATTTCATCCAGGGAACCTGCATTTGCTCCAAGAGATGAAAGTAAAGTTACATATGTATAAAAAAGAACTATTGAGGCAAGATTAAGATGGAGAAAATAATTCGGGTTTACCCAATTCAATGTCTTGGGTTTCATCATCAATGTCACCGTCCTCAACAATTTCAATTGATTCACCAGCGGCAGCCGCTGCATATCTTTGAAGAAATTCCTCTTCTGTCTCTTCGCGTACATCATCATCATCATCCGAATCCTGATTATATGTTGTTTGTGATATTCAATCAATTTGGTTGGGCATGAATATAGAAGATACAAATCATGATTCTGCTCAGTTACCTCATCATCTTCATCGGTGTCTTCCTCCTCTTCATCATCATCATCAAGATCTTCTGCACCATCACCATCATCCCCATCCTCTTGAACTTCCTTCAGATGGATGCAAGACTCCATCAATGATACACAGCAATCATGCAACAGTTTGGTGCCACCCGTAGAAAGGGCCAAAAGACGCTCAATTACAGTTGCTAACGTTAACACTGCACAATAACAGAAAACAAATTCAGGATGTACCTTCACAGGATGACAGACCAAACATGAACAAGATTAAACATTCCAATGATCAGTAAGTAGTTACTTACCAGCTAGTTTGATCTCGGATTCAGATGACAAGCCAGGATTGAAAGAGCTACTTGAGATTTGTGCTAATGCAGATGCCCATATCGCATAACCGTTACTGTCATATTTGCGTAAGAGTTGCTCAATAGCATCAGGGTAGCATATGTAGCATGACGAAATGACTAGTATTAGTGGTTTCCATATCCCAGAAGGGCTGTCAGATACAGACTTGAAACGGGAGAATGCTGCTTGCGCAAAGGATACAGCAAGAGTCATTCTAGTATCTTCTGCTCCAAGAGAGAAATTAGGAGTGTGCAGCAGTGTATGCATGCATGAACATGCCCTCCATGTTGCAGATGGGTAAGCTTCAATGGCCCTGGTTATAAAACTAGAAACCCAACTAATGACTGAACTTTGTGAACTATTTTCAGATCGGGAAGGGAGTATTTTCAGGAAGAAACCAGTAGAATCAAAGTTTTGATGGAAGTTAACAGCTTCTTTGATTGTATTGAAAATTCCCTGATCCTCCATTTCCTCCCAAGAATCCCAACAAGCAATTATGTCAGCCCATATAGCTACTAGCTCAAACACCTTCATACTTGCAGTTTCTTCCATAGAGGTGATAGACCTCATAATGAACTCAAGTAAAATAGAAGCATCATTTACACATGACAGAGGTGGCAATGAAGAGCAAACAGATAACCCCTGGAATGAATGTTAACAGCAATCAAGCAGATTTCATCACATGAATGCCTCAATAAACAGCATTTAGCTTTGCTAAAAAATAAACAGCAAATGTAGCATACCATTTGCTCAACTGGAAGCAACCAAGCCTTTTGTAACACATGCGAAAATGTTTGGGCGATAGCAAACTGGCCTGACTGCCAGACCCTCATTTCAATGTCCTTGTTTTCATCTGGTGCAGAGCTTTCCCAAGCTTGAGCCATCGATACCAGTGCAGCAAAACCCCGTTCAACAGCCTAAAAGCATATACATGTAAATCTGCTGGTTTGATGGGAATTTTTCCTATATGAATTGAACACATAGGAATCTTGAAATATAATGCAGATGGGTTATAAAACGCATGTACTCCCTCCGCTTGAAAATATGCAACATTTTAGAAATTGTCATAGTCAACTTTATTAACTTTGGTAACTTTGAGCACTGATGTGTCAAATAGTTTTTATATTTGTCATGTCAAAATGAAACCATTAGATTTTTCATGAGAAAATACTGATTCTTCACAAGCATTTTTTGATATTTATACAAAAAATAAAGGTCAAAGGTGCATGTTGGATACTGTTTGTGCCCAAAACATCACTCCTGAACAGAGAGCATGTTGAAAGATGTGTGCTCAATGTTCACTAGTGATTGCACATGATGGTTTAAGTCGTAATTAATTAATAATTATAACGAAAGAAGCCCGGAAATGCTCATAATCTACTTATTGAGCTTCACTCTCAATAAGTATACCTATTACCAAATCTGCTAAATTTGGGAACAGTTCCTACCTTTCAAGACATCTACCACTCAAAGCAATAATATAGTAAAATTCTAATCCCTAATACAAACAACAAAAATATTAATAATGGAAATGACACTTGATGGTACAGTTAAATATATGGCAATGTTTATTTTCCCTTTTACAGAAAACACTAACGTATTGACAAATAGAGGATACAGATGTGCAATTACCTGAGGCCAGGGATCTGGCACAGGGGGCAATAGCTTCATTATGGTATTGGCTATGTTAGATACAATTTCAGGAATGTGAGGCAAAACTTTTTCTTGGCCAGACTCGATTATTGTGCCCAGAAGCTGAAACAAAAGAGTAGACTCATTTTCATCTTCAACGCTTATCCTTTTCATCACCACTTGTAAAAGGACAAGCCAATCAGGAGGAGCATAACCATTCTGCATGAGGCACAAAGAAATATCTCAGTGGCATACTAGCATAGTTCCAACTTCCAAGTGGCAGGTGAAATCCATTGACAACATCACATAAACCCTTACCTCAATGAGTTCTGCAATGGCACCAGAAGCAGAAGCACGAACAGGATAACAGCTCAACTCATCAAAATCCTCCATCGTCAATGCCTTCATTAATGAATGATAAATATTTGTGCTCATGGCCTACATCCAAGCAAACAGCAGTCAGAAAATCAAATATATAATATATGGAACATTGGAACGTACATATTAATGAAGCCTTTTGTTTTCACCTATTATTTCATAAGGCTGGATGATAAAATTATGAAGGAAAAAATGTAACCTCTGGTAGGCACAACGCAAGCTGTCCAATAATCCAGTTTGCTGCAGAAATCAAATATGGACTGCATGGATCCAGGGAATACAGTGGAAGAATACGATTCCTAATGATTGTATTTGTCAAATCTTTTTTCTCAGTCAGAAACTGCAAAATGGGTTACTGAAATTCATTGGTATTCATTCTAACAAAAAAACACAAAACACACATCTTCTGAATCTTACATCTTGGAGGCCCCCAAATGCCATTAGAACACCGAAATAACTGGAATGAGTGACAGTGAAATGAAGTGAACTTCCAACTATATAGAAATATGGGAAAATAACAAAACGAATATGCTGTAGTTCACTTGTAAGCATGAGAGATACAAATATCTAGACTTTTTGCTACCATTTTTTCTTGGTTAAAACAAGTAATTATTATGTTCTTACTTCTGCACTGCCTTTGATGACACATCTTCCCCCTGGGGAGGTATAGGAAATTTTGACAGGAATGGTATAACCAATAACTCCCCAATGGAGCTCCTTTCTCCTTTTCCTTTACTTTTATCACCTTTCTTACGCTTAGAAGCTGCAGATACAACTGGTGGGCCCTGATGCCAGAAAATGCTAATACATGAGTAGAACATCTTTAAACGTTTTATTTCAATTCAATAAGTGAAAAGGTTCAGGTGATAGATAGAAAATGTGTGAACTAGGTAGATTGAACATACAGTTGTTAATAGCATTTTAAGTATGTATGCTTGCAGGTTGTGATAGATGCAAATGGAATTCAATACAAAAAGAATATTGTTATCCTTCTACCAGTGCTAGTCAAAAGCTGTAATACCTTATAATGATTTATGAATTATGAAGGAACAGTTTATCAAAGGGTTTATTAATATAGCAATTCAATGTTAAAAGATACTGGTGGATCTAAACTTGTTATTATGTTCCATTCCACTATGGAAAAAGGCACAACCTTCGATAGGGCTATAACACCAAGTAAATTGATACCACTTTTTCTTGCTGTGAATAAATCCTCAGCCCATCCTGAAATGTCGTCCTGCCAGCAAATATATCAGTGAACACAAAAGCCAGAGAGAAAATTAGCGTGATGGATTCATGTACATACAAGTTCACAAGGTAGATTTTTCCGCATGTACTCATCAGTATCGTCTTCCCACTCTGTTATATCCTGCACACAGATAAAGTTTAAACCAAACAAATTACATATTGAAACAGTACTTATGTGTTTCCTATCGAAAAAGGCAGGGAGCTGACCTTTTCATTTAATGCTAAAGCTGGAAAAATTGCTGAATCCAGAAGTGAAGAAAAATGTGGTGAAACAAGTCGCCATCCCTGCAACCAAGGAGCACAGACCCATCAAATTCAAACATAAAAAAATGTGAATCATGATTTTGGTTCAGTTTAACTGCATAATGTAAATACTTACAGGGCCTGTCTCCAGAACACGAGAAATTACATCAAATGACAATGAAATGATCCGATCAGAGAGAGGGCCGAGTTTCTGTAATCATTAAGCACTCTCAGAATCTCGTCAAATAAATTAGGAAATGATCATGATGACTGATGACCATCGCAACCTTCAGAATCTAGCATGCTTTAGTTCGGGTTCATGATGTTTGGGCTTCATCACATTGTACAAATAAAAGGATTATACAAACCACTGACTGAACTTACATGTAAATGAATGCTTTGACTTGATATTCTGGTTGCGCTGTTGACTATATGTGCCATCTGGCTGAGAAAACTGGAGGGTTAGTATTCTAAAAGGATAAGAATGACGATAAACATTAAAGTACGTACTCGTCAGCATGTTTCCGGTGACGAGTAACAAGTGTGCAAAGTATGATGAGGCATCTCTTTGCAGTCTTGAGCCTTGTTGTGGCTCTATCTTCATATTGACTGTTGAAATCCAGTGATTCTAGTATGCGGAACATGTCTTTGCAAAAGGAAGGCAAAATCTGCTTTACCCTAGATGGCATGTATGACCTAACCTGCATGAGTATGACAATTAGGCATCCCTCATAGCAAGTTAATAATCATGCATGCCAAAACGTTAGCTATGGAATTAAAACAATGTAAATATACCAGTAATTCAAGTACAGCATTTGGAGAACCAAAAGAACAAACTCAGTATTGTATTCCTAAATTGTTTACATAAACATGAACAGTAATGCTTTAAGTTCTATTCAAACACATTATACTCCTCAGTCTCAGCCCAACCTTTCGTTCTCTTAACCTTCCCAGATGTTGCTAATTGGCACTCTTCAATATAATTATGCAAACAGCACATGGTTTATTAATAGCAGTTTCTACATTTTACCGTATGATGATAGTATGTTATGGTCATAATGGTATTTTTAATACAGAAGGAAGGAACCATGTCTTACAGTGAAATACATGCACTTGCTCGTGATGAGTAGGAGTTGCTCGTATTCCAGATTAGTCTCATCATGTGACAACAGAACCTATTGACCACAGAACCACACACCATAAAAAGTTCAGGAAAGATCAGCATGTGTACAGCATTTAGAGCAAAGCAGAGTGCAACACAAAACCTTGTCAGCAATGTGATGGAATGTCACTTGTAGTGGTACAAGAATCTCAGATGCGATTTGCTCCAATTGTGGTGGAACAGGCTCTTTTGCTACTTTGGGGTTCAAGAAGTACTGTAAGATAACACAGCTAGAAATAAATAAGAAATCCGCTCTACTAAAATATTTATGTGCAGTAGTTGTTGATACAGGAATGCTAAAACTCTATAATGAGTAAAGTAAGTTTAAGCTTTAAGGCATACTATTTACTCCCTTTGTAAGCTGAAATGTGTACAATAAGTATTATGCAATTAGAACAGACAATTGCACAAATATCAACAGAGTTATGTCTTGTATGGACAAGCTAGAGACAGGAGTCCTTTAACAAAAAAAAAGGAATAAAATGAAGTTAAAATAAAATGTTCACGCTTACAAAAACTAAAATCTGAGAGTGAAGGATTTGATTTTCAAAAACATGCGACAAAGGCATACAGCATATGAAATATTAGTCCATGAGATATACCTGGAAGGGCCTAACAACAGATTGAAGTACTGTGAGTGCGTTGATAGTATTCCATTCAGGATGCTGGCCTGGACTTATTATATTGCTGCTCTGGATCACTTGCTTCAACTGGGGGACAAGTTCAGGCCACAAATTTTCCTTGACAAAATCTTTTTCTATGACTTGGCGGAACTGTTTGATGCAAACCATAAGGATGTAAGATAACACCCAAAAAAGGCTTGGTAGTGAGGAATTTAGTTGCAGAGAAATTAAGTAGAAATGAGACATACAACTTCAATCAATACTCGAAGAAGGAAAGGTTCCACTTGAAGCAACGCCTGGGCGAGCCGATCACGGAACTCTTTATAAAGCTCAGGTGATGACAACCCCCAGTCAATATTTCGGCGTGTGTAATTCTTCAAGTATGTTGCTGCAGCAACTTTTGTTCCTTGGTCCCCATCAGCTATAAGCACAATTCAATTATAAAGGTCAGGTGGGCTGCCTGCCTGAGCATTGATTGCTCAAAAAGAACACATATACTCACAACTAAAATTGGTGTGTTTTGTTCACGCTAAAATTGGAAGTTTGATTGAAATTGGAACGATGTGACGGAAAAGTTGGAAGTTTGTGTGTGTATGAAAGTTTTGATGTGATGGAAAAGTTGGAAGTTTGAAGAAAAAGTTGGGAACTAAACCAGGCCTAAATACTGGTATAACATTTCCATTTTTCTGTACAATATCTCAAAATGAAACAAGAACATCAATATATTCGTCTCCATGGACAGAGCACCAACCATTTCCCAAAATTATGTTTTTACATGCACATAAATAGTCTCCCGCACTTGCTAACTGCAGTTTATCGAATCATGAGTTGGATTTTGGGTGCTGCGTGTGGCAATTTAAAATAGACAGACAAACATCAAACATGCATAAGTGATTTGTCCAAAATAGCTTTCATTTTTGCATGGAGTTCCACAAATTAGTAAATTACAATCCAGGCTACCACTGCTCAAATTCCCCAGCAGAAGCAAAAATATCCACAAGCTTCCGCAGAAATCGAACACGGTAGCACTTGGCATGGAAACGCCACCAGCACAGCTACAACGAGAAAGGGGAGGGTACCTGCGGCGACGGCGAGGAGGGAGATGGGGAAGCGGGGGTCGGAGGAGGCGGCGATCCTGGAGAGCCCTTCCGTGGCGGCGTCCACCGCCGCCTTGTCGGGGCTCAGGGTGGCGGAGAGGAGCGACCGGAGCTCGTCGCCGGCCGCCGCCGCGGCGGCCGAGGTCTGGGCTTCGACCTCCATGGAGCGTAAACCCTAGTTCTTTTTTCTTTTCCTTTTTTGAGGATATTTTTTGACCAGCAAGACTCCAGAGAGAATGGGGTTGAGTTGGAGGGAATGGAAAGGAAAGGAATTTGGCGGGAAACATTGGCGCCAGATGCCATGGAACAAGGATCCAGCCAACAGTGGTTCAGCAATCAATCCCCACTATGCACTAATAGCCAACAGTATACAAATACACTATTTACATGCTGGAACACACTAACAATCATACAAAACTACAATGTAAATTTTCTTTTCAAAACTATCACTATAACTTTAACTGGTATTTCCCCAAAACTGCAACATAGCAAAGATTTTATTAAAAAACTATGATTTTATCTTCCTATAAGTTTTATGACATGTGAGCCAACTCATACCAGAATGAGTAACATGTATAGTATATATGACAGGTGAGTGCAAATTTATCATTCAAATAGAGTTGTAGTTTATTTTATAAATCATACGATATTGCTGTAGTTCTCTTGGAAAATTTTGAGCTAACGTTGTAACAGAATGATAGTTTTTTTTTTTTTTACAAAAAATAGTTGTAGCTATATGAAATATACTATAAAAATTCAGATTAAAATATACAACGTGTTTGCAGCTTCTGTTCGTATATAAATCAGGCCCAAATACTAACCGGGAGCAGCCCAAATATTTAAGCCCATACCTACTGTCTGAACAATCACAGGCCCAGAGTGCCACATTTTTTTGGGCCCATATCATCGCTATTTCGCCGGTTTTTGGTAGGATGTGTGGCCAGAAAAACAAAACTGAACACTGCAGTAGATCAGAGGACCAACAGCAACACAAGAGAAAAGAAGTCATCACATCTACCTGCTACCTAACTGGAGCACAACAAGGCTACCAGCAAGCAGGCAGATTGTGCAACTGCCATCTACTCACCAAACACCAAACTCTCCCTCTCGCTTCTCTTGCAAAACAACCTTTCCTGAACCAAAATCAAACAAACCAACACCTGTTCAACAGTCTAATCACTAGTCACTAGTCTGTCTGCTGAATTGTTCTCCTTAATAACGTAATTAATCCATCCACTGTCAAACCAAGAAACACCAAAAGATGGAAAAGGAAACCAAAGGCAGAAACCATTATTCTCGCACAGCACAATGTAATCTGGTCCGATTGGTCATAAACATGGTCTCATTCTCATACAGGGTGTGCATATCACAATATCTTCAGTAGACAATTAATTCAGGAGGATGCATATCACAATTAGCAGTAGTTTAGTCAATTAATTAATGCTTCTCTTCTACACTGATGCTGCAGGTTTGCTTTTACTTAGTAGATCCAATCTAGAACACAGCGAGTCATCTTCTTTATATTCATTCCATTCCTCCCAAAGACGCAACGTGCACACACCACCAAGACCACCACCTTCATCTTGGTTGGCTTCGTTCACTCCGCCTACCTACCTACCTCTGCAGTTGGTTTGCTGAACCCTCCTCAAGAACCCACGCCTCTCCTCTCGCGGCGGCAGCTAACCGAGCCATGGCGCGCAAGAAGATCCGGGAGTACGACTCCAAGCGCCTCCTCAAGGAGCACCTCAAGCGCCTCGCCGGTATCGACCTCCAGATCCTCTCCGCCCAGGTTCGATTCTCTCTTCTTCTTCTTCTTCTTGATCTCAAAGTTTTAGCTGTTGTTTCCGGTGATCCCTGGTTGGTTGGCGCTTTTTCATTTTTTTTTTTGGCCTGATTTGGGCCCGCGTGATTTGGCCTGGTTGCGTGTAAACTGTAAAGATCTGGTTTGTCTTTCTTTTTTGGGTTCGATATTGATTACTCAATGAGGCATTGGCATTTGTTAATTCGTGAGAAGATAGTTCTCTGTTTAGGATAAAATACAATGGTGATAGTATGAAATGGGGGATCTGGGTACAAGTCGTAGGACGATGCAATTTTTGTGCTGGTAGGCATTGTGGATGGGCTCACTGACAGGATTTTGATTTTAGAATGGAAATGTTCTTGGTTCTGTATGTGAAGGGTAACTTGCAAAGGTGCGATTTTGATTGGAACTAGTACGGCTTATTGCTTGCAGTTTGGTACTGGCAGTAGTGCAAAAGAATCGGTTTCTTTGTTAGATCTGGAGACTGGAGTTTTGTCTTGCAGTATTGTTTTTGTTTTTTTTTTGTATGTCTAAATTGTTAATTAATTCATTACTGGTGTCCGTATGGTGGTGAACTGGTCATGATGTTGACACTTGAATGTTGTCCTGATGCAGAGTGATTTCCTCTGAAATACTACATACAAGCAGATAGTTCCTTTTGTTACATTCACACATTTGGGGTCACTAGGGAGTTTAAACTGACTGATTTTGAATTATACAAATTGCACTATGCGCGAAATTAATCTTAATTACGGTTCTCGTTTGACATAGCATATTTTTGTTTGAAGTTAAAAATATCGGTTTGGCTGATTCTGGGATTTGTAAAAAGGTTACACAATCGACGGACTTCACAGAGCTGGTAAACCAGCAGCCATGGCTGTCAACCATGAAGTTGGTCGTGAAGCCCGACATGCTGTTCGGGAAGCGTGGCAAGAGCGGACTTGTGGCCCTCAACCTAGATATTGCTCAAGTCAAGGAGTTTGTGAAGGAGAGGCTGGGAGTTGAGGTAGTTCAATTTTGCTATCGCCTTTAAAATCTGACTTATTCTCTGTTCGCTTGATAAATTAAGTTGTTCTGTCCTATTGTGGCTATTCAGGTCGAGATGGGTGGCTGCAAGGCTCCAATCACCACCTTCATTGTGGAGCCATTTGTACCCCATGATCAAGAATACTACCTTTCTATTGTCTCGGAGAGGCTGGGCAGCACCATTAGCTTCTCAGAGTGTGGAGGAATAGAAATTGAGGAGAACTGGGACAAGGTTAAGACAATTTTTCTTTCCACTGAGAAGCCAATGACACCTGATGCATGTGCTCCCTTGATTGCTACCCTTCCATTGGAGGTATTTGTCCTGTTAAAATTATTTGCCTTTGTACCTCATTCAGTTGATTTCATTTGAGGAGTACTTCTATCTGTCACATGCTTATAATAATTGAACTGTACATTTCGTCATTAGGCACGTGGAAAAATTGGTGATTTCATTAAAGGAGTCTTTGCTGTCTTCCAAGGTATTAAAGATGCATATAGAATTCACTTGTCATTTGTTGTAATGTTTTAATTGTAAAATGTAATAATAAGCGTATTGGTATATCATGTATCCATAATAATATGCTCCCTTTACAGACTTGGATTTCTCATTTCTCGAGATGAACCCATTTACCATCGTGAATGGAGAGCCGTATCCTCTGGACATGAGAGGAGAATTAGATGACACAGCAGCTTTCAAAACTTCAAGAAGTAAGTCTCATTGCTTCTCTAGCATACATGCCTCTGTGCGAATGTTTTATTAAGCATTTCTTGTCACTGTTCAGGTGGGGAAATATCGAATTCCCACTACCATTCGGTAGAGTTCTCAGTTCTACAGAAGGCTTTATCCATGACTTGGATGAGAAGGTATCCACATCTCAAATTACACGTTTCACATTTCAAGCCTCCTCCCCAATCTTTTTTAAGTATGAGTTGCCTGTATAATATCATCAGTAGGTTTGCACATGAATTCAGATAGGAGTGCTGGCAGTCTGGCTCAGCACTATATGTTTTTTTGAATTATTTGCTAAATGTGATATAATGACCTTATTCTTTCAGACAAGTGCATCTCTGAAGTTCACCGTTTTGAACCCAAAGGGGCGCATCTGGACAATGGTTGCTGGAGGTGGTGCCAGTGTCATATATGCTGATACAGTAAGCTTTGAGTTCCTCCCTTGTTTTAACTTAGCTGTTCAAGGATTTCATGCTACTCTCATGAAATTAAGTTTTTTTTTCTTATTTACCATGTCGGAGATTTGGGATATGCTTCAGAATTAGAAAACTATGCAGAGTATAGCGGTGCTCCCAACGAGGAGGAGGTTCTGCAGTATGCTAGAGTAGTACTTGATGTAAGCACTCAAGATATAACCATAACCACATTTCTCTCCACTCCCTTGTTATGTCAATTTGTTAATGATAACATTCAATGCAGTGTGCGACTGCTGATCCTGATGGCCGCAAGAGAGCTCTTCTCATTGGAGGGGGTATAGCTAACTTCACCGACGTCGGGGCCACATTTAGCGGCATCATTCGGGCCTTAAGAGAGAAGGTAGCTATGCTGACCCCTAAATCTCGAATTGTGGCCAATGTTCTCTAAAACTTATCACCAGTTCCACATGTTCATCTGATTGGTTGACTGTCAACTGAATCTGAAACTTGCTTTCAGGAATCCAAGTTGAAGGCTGCAAGGATGCACATCTATGTCCGACGTGGTGGTCCAAATTACCAAACTGGGCTGGCTAAAATGCGCAAGCTTGGCGCAGAACTCGGCGTCCCGATTGAGGTACGGATCTAGTGTCTCCTACTGCACCTCTCTCTTTGCTATGCAAGACCTGTTATGTCTGAAGTTCATAAATGCAAATGGGCAAACCTATCAGTTTGTTGTTGGTGGTTCTGAATCACTATCCTGACCATCCCTCACACAACACGGATGAGCTGATTTCTGTTTGAACAACCCATCACTGCAGGTGTATGGGCCAGAAGCGACGATGACTGGAATCTGCAAGCAAGCAATTGAATGCGTTATGGCCGCAGCATAAATGAAGATGCAAGTTCTGGGATCTGCAGGCAAGATGCTGAATGCGTGATGGGTGCGACATGGATGAGAGTGTGGTGTAGTTGCAGTAGTTCTCTGCAGATGGCTGATTTGTTTCTTGATACATGTTATACTTGGACGAGATCTGGATAGGTTATTGATGTACTGAAACTACTACTGCGATGCAATAAAAGTGAGAGTAGCGTTTCCTGATTTGTTCTCTTCTTTATTGTGATATTGTTGCAATGCAATCGCGCTGTATTTCATCTCACATTGAGATGTGTTCCTGATTCAAGTTTAGCCCATGGTTTTGGTTCAAGTTTAAGCCATGGTACTGCACATGCATTTTACAGGATCTGAATATTGTCATCATGCTCAGCAACAAGTAGACGATGGTCACGACAGAA